GCAGTGGGTGTGGTTTGGGCTTTGCTTCTGTGAAGACTGACAGCCTTGGAGACCCTGTGGGGCAGTTCCCCTCTGTCCTCTAGGGGCGCTGTGAGTCAGAATCGACTCCACTGCAGTGGGTGTGGTTTGGGCTTTGCTTCTGTGAAGGCTGACAGCCTTGGAAACCTCATAGGTAGTTCTGTCCTGTAGTGGCGCTGTAAATTGGATCCACTCAACAGCAGTGGGTCTAATGTTATCAGATGGCCTCTATTTTATCTAGAAATGTTTATAAATTTGGCATACCAGTCCATACAGCCTTTTAATGGTAAAGTTTGTGTACAGAATTCGAATTTCATTTGCATGGTTGCTGTAATTGACCAGAGAGGAGCCGTCGTTCACAGCATGTTGCTTCGTCACTGAGTGCTTAGATTTTAATGTACTCATTAGAAGAGAAAATGAAATCAAGCTACCTAGTTAGTTATTGCAAAAAGTCCATGAAATATATGTAGTCACCAGTTGCCAGCAAGCTGACCCCAATTCATAGTGACCCCATGTGTGTCAGACCAGAAGTGTGCACCATAAGGCTTCCAGTGGCTGGTGTTTTAGAATTTGATTACCAGGCTTGTCTTCCGAGACACTTCTGGGGGGACTTGAACCCTGCACCTCTTGGTGAGTAGCTGAGTACAGTAAGCGTTTGTACCATCCAGGGCCCCATATATGACTACTCAGGTCCTTTTCTGGGGGGTTCAAGTGTGACTGGGGTTGCCTTGGGAGAAGCAGTGTTATCTACTGGAGCAGAAGGCCCCTCACGGCTTTGTAACAGAGAGCCCTCCCTGACTGCATGTGGGTTCCATATACACAGTTAGGGATATAAATGATGCCAGGAGAGAAGCAAAGTGAACAGACTCAACTCCTGAATGTTATGTACAAGTGTCTGGTACATGTTAACCCAGAAAGAGCCAAATCTCTGCCATGGAGTCTATTCTGACTCACAGCGCCCCTAGAGGACAGAGTGGAACTGCCCCACAGGGTTTCCAAGGCTGTCAATCTTCACAGAAGCAA